AACGAAAAATGTTAATATACTTACAGCATTTACTTAAATATGCAAATAATCATCTAAGAGTTCCCATATGTTTCCTGTTTTTTTTTACAGCCTAGCACATAATCATCGCGGAAAACTGAATACAATCACCAAAGCTGCCGTTTTTCCTAAATAATCACAAACAAATCGATGCTATATGTGGCTTTTATTAAAAGGAAATTCGCACCAAGTTAAATATAGACTAAGATTCCCATTCACCGAGCAGAGATCATAAACCAGGTATGGCGGACCTAATACATTTGGGAAATATAGATGTTGTCATCCAGAAAGATAAGCCCGGTTCGCCAACGGGCTGTTCGGATGATGGAAACCTAGGTGGTCTTGGTGGCATGAGTGGATTGGGCATGATGGCCGCCGGTGGCATTGACCTGGGTGACTTGGCACAGGAATTGGATCACGATGAGTTCGATGGACCCCACATGCTGAATGGTAAGCGGAATATCGAATATTCATTTAATTTATGGGACCTTTTATGGGGGGTGGTCGATTTAGCCCCCTACACTAATTTATTTTGGAATTGCATTAGAAAAGTAGATTGAATCGATAGTATTTGTGGTTTTTAGTGATATTAGCCTGGCTCCAACTAAATTTCTTTCTATATTCCGAACTGTCCCTATTTTAGGTGAACGTCCTGCAATTATTGCTCCTCCCGAAAGTGAATGGTACCATGGACGACTGGATCGTTACTCTGCAGAGTCTCGTCTGCGGGGAAGCAGTAAACTGGGTAGCTATTTAGGTGTGTATAACTAGTATACAATATGGTGGAAAAGGTTTTAAATTAGATTTTTTTTATGCCGCTGCAAATAAATGCTGAGCAGTTCGTGAAAGTGACCGCAAGCCTGGCTCCTATGTTCTAAGTTATTATGGGCGTACCGGCATAAACCATTTTCGGTAAGTAATTTTTTCCCTATAGGAAGGATTAAATAATTTCTTTGTGGTTATATATGTTATATAGAACGTTCAGCTTTAATATTCTATATTATTATTGTCTTCCATAGGATCACAGCTGTATGCGGAGACTTCTATATCGGCGGACGACAATTCATTTCCTTGAGCGATCTAGTCGGCTACTATACCTCATGTAGTGACCTACTAAAGCGCGAACGATTGGCCATACCAGTTGCTCCGCCGGAGCCAGTTAACGATAAAAAGCGCGTCGTTGCCATCCTGCCTTATACAAAAATGCCAGAGACCGATGAACTGAGTTTCCAAAAAGGTGATATTTTCTTCGTACACAATGACATGGGCGATGGCTGGCTGTGGGTGACTGCCCATCGCACTGGCGAGCAGGGAATGATTTTCAGGGAACTAGTGGATGACCTGGATGTATCCATCGATCCGAATACCGTCTTCCCCTGGTTTCATCCCAATTGCACCAAAAACGAAGCCGTCGATATGTTGGTTAAAGGTATGTACCTTGTACCCCATATTTATATGATATACAATATATATTATTCATGTTTAAAGTTCGTAAATTGAAAATCTCCTAGTAAATAATATATTTTTATACCCACTAGTCGTATAGTGTTTTATTTAGATACTTCATTTTTTATTTTTACGATTACATTTCTAGTTATATTGTTTTTCTTATGATTTATATGATTTAAAAGATATATTATACATGTTCTGAGTCCTTAAATTTGAAATCGTTAAGTAAATAATATATTTGTAAACCCGCAACTCGTAGAGTCTTAATTAGATATTTAATTTATTATTCTTCCGATGACATTTCTAACTATATTGTTTTTCCTTCTCTTTCTAGCTGGACCGGGAAGTTTCTTGGTTCGTCCCAGTGACAACTCGCCTGGGGACTACTCCCTCTTTTTCCATATTAACAACCAGATCCAACGCTTTCGCATCGAGAAGAAGGGCGTGCGTTACTTGATGGGAGGGCGGACATTTGAATGCCTGGATGCGGTGATAAATCGCTATCGAAAGGAGCAAATCGTCGAGGGTCACTCACTCAATCATCCGGTTGTCAATGGCATACAGCCAGAGTTCAATCAGCAATATGTTGTGGAAAAGGCCGCTGAGAAGATATATGCCACACTACGCGAATGCCGCGACCAAATTGGCCTTAAGAAGATCAAGGGCATCAAACACCATGGGCATTTGAACAAGAAATCGGATAAAACGACGAAATGGAAGCAATTATATTTCGCATTAATTAACGATGGCTCTGAGACGCAACTATGCTTCTACGACAATCCGAAGAAGACCAAACCGAAGGGTCTGATCGATTTGTCGTGTGCTTACCTCTATCAATGTCACGATTCCCTGTGGGAGCGTCCATACTGTTTTCAAATAGTCGAAAGGGCCCTGCCATGCTTGGCCACGGTGACATATCTGTGTGCTCCTAGTCAGGAAAGCTACGTGGAGTGGATCAACTCCCTCAAGGCCCAGTGCGACTCGCAGCTGAGTCGGGCCCAGAAGAAGGTCTCACGTCTGCGCGAGCTCCGTTGTCTTAATCTGCATGTGCTAGAAGCTCATCGCTTACCATTTAAATTAGTGCCACATCCATACTGCAGTATTTCGCTTAATCAAGTCAAGGTGGGCAAAACACGTGTCAAAATTGCCCCCGAACCTGTTTGGGAGGAGGAATTTGTACTAGAGTAAGTGTTCTCTATTAAATAAACCTTATTTTTTCTTATTTTTAATATTTATGATTTGTTTTCTTGCAGCGATGTCCCTCCAGATGTTGTTTCCTTAACCATTACTTTAATTTCACGCGGAAAACGAGGTAAAGACTCTGAGGTGGCCGAGCTAACCATTGACTTGTCTAGTCTGAAGAATGGCCAGGAGACTGAGGGCTGGTACCAACTCACCGGCATGACGCCGATGGGTGAATGGGGCTCGTTGCGTTTGCGTATGCGTTACCTCGACGATCTGATAATGCCATGTGAGGAGTACAGTCCTCTGCAGCAATTGCTTCTCGAATCGGAGCTCTATGCAGTCAAAGCACTGGCTGAACTCTGTCACAACGATCGGGTTCCTTTGGCCACAGCGCTGCTGCGTGTATTTCGACAGGAGAAAAGGGAAACGGAATTAATTCGAATGCTGTGCCAAGCGGAGGTTACGCGCGAAAATGAGACCACAACGCTTTTCCGGGGCGCTTCCTTGGCCACTACACTAATGGATCTATATATGCGAACCGAATGCAGCGGATTCCTCCAGTCGGCCGTCAGCGAAACTGTGCAGCGCATTTTGGAGAGCAAGCAGTCGGCGGAATTGAATCCCACGAAAATGGACGTCAACGATGATGCCTGCACGAATGCAGAGTTCCTGCTGCAGATCCTTGATCTGGTCACCCAGTCGATATTCACTTCACCGGACGCCTGTCCCCGGAATGTGCGATTCATTTGCTGTTGCCTGCAGAAGGCTGTGATGGCTAAGTGGCCGACAGAGCGACTGGTTCGCACCCGAGTCGTCTCTGGCTTCATATTCTTGCGCCTTTTATGCCCAGCGCTGCTGAATCCACGCCAGTTTGGCCTGGTCAGCGAGACGCCACCGATGGCAGCCACACGTTCTTTAGTCATGGTCGCCAAGTGTCTGCAAAACCTAGCCAACTTGATTGAATTTGGCGGCAAGGTACGTAGGATTAAATTAGATTGGATAATCTAGTATTCTGATTTTCCCTTTCTTTTGATATTTCAGGAACAATACATGGAGGTTGTCAATCCGTTTATTTTGAAGAACAAGGAACGCATGATTGTTTTCTTGGATCAACTGTCCTCCGTTAACGATCCGAATCAACCGCTTGGAATGTTTGTCGAACAGAGTACAAATCTTAATTCACAAGACACCGGTAAGTTATTATTTGAATTTCTTTTATAAGTTAAGAAAATAAGGCTATTTCAGTGTTCAGTGATATATTCCTTTTCAAAATTAAATTAGATTTTTTAAGAATTCCCTAGGATTTCCCTCCTTTTTAATAAAACAATCATATTATTTTTACGATTCCCCAAGGACGCGAGCTGGCTACCTTACATCACATCTGTGTCTCACATTCGCAAGAACTTCACGAGCTATCCAACATTCTTTCAATTAAAAAGCTTGTCACTGTTACGGACATGTTGACCAAGCACAAACTGAAGTACCGCGAGATGATCAGCTAAAATAAAGTGCGAAGACCGGATAATAATTGCGATGTCTTCTTATCTACAAGTCCCTTCATACCTTTTTATAAAAATATATTTATATGTGTATACTATTAGGAATACATAATATAATAAGAACTCATAATAACTGGTTGAAAATTGTATTGGAATAGTAAACAGAATATCATTTATAAAAATTATTTATATGAAATGAAATAATATTTAACAGACCGGTATGCATTTATTTATTATTAGTATCATTAAACTTACTTATAATACACACTAGCTTACACGGATTACTCCGTATAGCCGCAAACTCAGATATTAGAAATGGTTTTGCTTTTGATATTGTGTGAAATTTAGAGCATTTGTGTCGAATGCGTCACAATACACAACTTTTATGCCCAAATCCAAACAATTTTTTTTCGAAAATAACGCATAAAATCGAAATAAATTAATGAATTTAAAAAGAGTGCAAAAGACTTCCTCTGAAAACATATATTGCATTTTTATATGTGAAAAAGGTTTTTATTTGGCATCTATTCAGTAAAAAATGCATTGAAAGTCTTCAAAGGCGATGTAGTGATGATCCACTTTAAATAAGTAAGTAAGAAATTCTTGCATTCCGGTAAAACAACCTTGAATTATTAGATTTTTTATTTATTTCGGAAATTAAAAGATGCCCTTTATAACTCTAGTCATTAACTATAGGGCTAGCTGATTTAATATTTTTAAAAGACTTCAACAGTTTCTATAAAGTTCTTATTTTTAAGGTATATATAGCACCGGTGGAGGTTATCCTTATACTAAAAAAAAAGCCTTCTGATTTTTAACATATATTTAATATCTATAAAATTATACATATTTTATTTTTTGTTAGATGTACATTTTCTCAACGGCCCTTACGACCTTTGCTTCCCTTGCCACCCTTTCCGCCCTTGCCCTTTTCGCGCTTCTTTTTTGCGTCCAGGGATCGCTTGTCCTTCTTCTCACGAGGATCCACCACTCGATAGCGACCCTTCACGCCTGCTGGACGGCGGGCTCGACGAGCTGCCGACTGCTTCTTGGCCACCACATATGTGACCTCCTTCTTCTTCTCCTGGGCCTTCTTGTAGACCTTCTTGAGCTGCTTGGACTTTTCGTGGTTGGTGGCATCGGAGTTCTCCATAATCTTCTCGGCCATTTTCTTGGCCTTGGCCAAGCGTTTGGTGGCACGACGATGTTTGCGTGCCTTGGCCTCCATAACCTTCTTGATGGGACGCACATTGACCTCCTGCAACTTGCGCTGGTACTCGGCTGTCAGCTCCTTGGGAACTGGCTGTGGCTTGGTCATGTGCTCCTCCTCGTCTTGTGCAAACCAAACGGGAAGGTTCTCATCGTTGAAGGCATAGCGATTCCAGGCGGCATCGATCACGTCTCGGCGTGTTTTCTTGTTGCGTGTTATAAAGGCGCCCAAAGCCATCTCATTTTCGGTTAGGCGAACCTTTTTCGCCTTTGTTTCTGGAATATAAAAGAGGATTTATTATAATAAGTAATAAGCAAGTATTTATTTTAGTTATAACTAACTAACCTGGATTCGTTTCATCGCCATCCTCGTTGGCTTCCTTGGCTTCATCTTCGGAATCGGATGACTCTGAGCTACTGTCCTCTTTCGGGGCTTCATGTCGTGCGCGGCGCTTGGCTTTCTTTCCCTGAATAGCTTGATCATCTGCGTCCGCGGTGAGGGTGCTCTCACCCAAAACCGACACACCCTTGGCCTTGTACTCCTTGGCCAGATTGTCCAGATCGTAAGTTTCCTCATCGTCATCTGATTGGATATTTTGCAGAACATCTTTCTCATACCAAAGCTGTACACGCTGCTCTCGTTTTGTATTCTTATCACGAAAATCATTTGACTTAATCAGTGGATTCTCAGTGCGCTTTTTCCTCTTGTTTTTGCCCTTTGAAGTGCCCTCTTCATCGTCACTGAGACCCAGACCCTGTTTATCATTGATTTGGTCTTCGTCCTCTGAGGCTGCGCTTTCTTCCTCATCATCGTCGTCATCGTAGTTAAGATCATCATTAATATTGCCCTCATCCTTGTCGAAATACTTGTATTTCGGCAGCTTTTCTTGCTCGGGCGCACTCTCATCCACAGCGAAGTCCGGCTGAACATCTAGCAAACCGTCGAGCTCATCAGAAGTTTTAATATGTTTGAGTTCGAAGATTTCGTGCTCTGTTTCCTCGACGGGACCATCGTCTCCCTTGATCACCATATTCAGGTTCATCTTCTCGTGCAATTTGGCCTTTGTCTTGAGCGTCTTCTTGCGCTTACGCTTCAAATCTTTCTTTTCCTCATCCACAATTGTGTCTATTTGCGTTTGCAGCTCGGCATCTTCCATGTCCTCGATTTCGGCCTGTGTCAGTGGCTTAACCTTCTCCTCCTCAGCATCTGGGACGACCAGGGCATCCTCCTTCTGCACGAACAGCCCCCTGACATCTTTCCACCACTGAACCAGTCCCTTGATATCCTTGCGGCCCAGCACCTTAAGATCCTTGCAGCACTCCAGGATCTCGACGGTGGTCTTCTTGTGCTTGGCAATGCGTTCATCATCGATGCCAATGGAACCGATGCCCTGTAGAGCAGTCAGTGCGTTTTCAGCCTTCATGAAATCCGTGGCGGCCAGTTCGTTGCGCAGGGCAATATCCTGAGCGGTATAACCCTCGGCCTTGATGCGCTTCTGCTTCTCGGGATGCAGCAGACTGCTCTTCTTCTTGGCATCCAGATCGAGTTCCTCGAACACGTACTTGGAGTCCAAGAGACGGGGATCAATGTGATCGGGGGCAATGTAACCCTGGCAGACGACGAATATCTCAGCGGACTCCTTACGCGAGGCACTCGGCTTGGTGGCGTGCACCTTCTTGAAGAGCTGCTTGAGGACCCACAGCAGGGCATTGTAGTCCTTGGAGCGGAAGACCTTGGTGACGAACCAACCGCCGCTGCGCAGGAACTGTGTGGCCAACTTAAGGGAATTGAGGGTGAGACAGATCTGCTGGTAGGCATCGTACAGCCAGTTTCGGCCCACATTGGGGGCACCGTCGTGGAGGACAACGTCAGCCTTCCAGGACTGCAGCTCCTTGGTCAGCGACTGGCGGCACTTCTCGGTGGTGATGTCCTCGACCAGGCCAATGCAGCCGGCGATGGGACGGATGGGGAACAGATCCACGCCGATCACGATGCTGGACACGGGCATGTTCTGCTTGGCCACCTGCATCCAGCCACCGGGCGCTGCGCACAGATCCAAACATACTTGCGACTGCTGGAGGAAGCCGAACTTGCGGTTCAACTGGATTAACTTGAAGGCGGCACGGGATCGCAGACCCGTCTCCTTGGCCAGCTGGTAGAACTTATCCTTCCTGGTCTTTCCAACTTTCGTCTTCTTGCCCATTGCGCCTGTGTTTCCACTTAAATCGGGCTAAAATCAAATCGAGTTCAAAATTCGTGCACGTGCACGTGTTGCCAACAGTAGAACTGCGTTAATCGGGGTATCGATGTATCGATTGTGGTGTACTATAAACTAGTATTGGAAAATATGGAAAGGTTTCTTATAGTGAGTTTAGACTAGTCGCATCATAGCCGAGTATCCTAAAATTGATGTAGGCGTTTACACTACATATGCAGCATAATAACATAAATATATAAAGTATCTGAATAACGTGTCTCTTTTTATATCCACAGGGTGCCTTTGGAAAAATATTCCGAACACTGCGTTTCGTCGTATGTCAATGATGCGTCCCTGTCTGAACAGCGTTCTGATAGTGATAAATTTAATGATCAGTATCGAAAAATATATACATGGTTAATAAATATAAATGACTTAAATAAAGCGTTACTTATAAATGTGGGTGGGTTCTTATGGGAAATTATTCTGAACATTCTGCGTTTCCTCGCATGTCAATGATGCGGTCCTGTCTGAACGCACCGATAAAACAACGGCATTCCGATATCGATGAGTTTAGTTGTTGAGATATCGGTATCGAAAATATACCACTGGCTGCCAGCCGCCGTTGGGTCAAGGTGGCGGCACCACGAGGCACAAAATCCTTTGCAAGCTCTGAAAGTCAAGATAGCGTCATGATGAGGCGCAAAATTATTTGAGCTGCAATGTGTGTCAAGATAGCGTCACCACGAGGCGCAAAATTCTTCGAGCTGCAATGTGTGTCAAGATAGCGTCACCATGAGGCGCAAAATTCTGCAGATTATGAATGTCAAGATAGCGTCACGATGGGGCGCAAAATCCTTTTGGCAGCAATGTATGTCAAGATAGCGACACCACGAGGCGCAAAATTTTGCAAATTATGTATGTCAAGATAGCGTCACGATGGGGCGCAAAATCCTTTCGGCAGCCATGTATGTCAAGATAGCGACACCACGAGGCGCAAAATTTCTGAAGCTACAGCCGTGAATGTCAAGATAGCGTCATGACGAGGCGCAAATGTTCCCATCTAAAAATGTCAAGATAGCGACACCACAAGGCGCAAAATTTTGCAAATTATGTATGTCAAGATAGTGTCACGATGAGGCGCAAAATTCCTTGAGCTACAGCTGTGAATGTCAAGATAGCGTCATGATGAGGCGCAAATGTTCCCAGCTAAAAATGTCAAGAAAATCAATTATGTTGCCGAAAAATGTTGAATTATATTTTGCACTGCAGACAAATATTAAAAACTTAAGCTGCGGGTGTGGAAGTTTTTAAAATCAGTAAGTAACATTTGGCCGCCACTTTTCAAAGGAAACAAAAACTTTTTAGGTTCTTTTAACGATTTTACCAATGTTAATTTAACAAAAATTTAAAATTCAATTTCGTATTCCCTGTATTTTTTCAAATAAGGTTTTAATGTTTATAAATGTGAAATTTTTATAAAAATATATGAACATTTTAGGAATCGAAAGAAATTGCCCAAAAATCTTGCTGCAATTTAAATTGTCATGAAAAGGAAATCACCAAAAATACTATTCTCGTCCCTTTCTATTACATGCATCTCTCACAGAAAATAAAATAGAACGAACAGCTTTGAAGGGCAATCTTCCCGTAAGACCATTAATTAATACTTCGATTTTATTTATTTAGTTATTCGTGTAAAGTTGTGTATTTATATATTTTTCTATTGTTATCCAAAATTTTTACTGCAATACCTTATCATACTGAAATACATTGAATGGTTTCGTTTGACCGTTGTGTGAGCGAAAGACGGGCGAAGATATATATTAATTATCAGTTAAAATTATAATCGTTTTTTGTATTCATTTCAAATAATCTGTTTTTATATATCCGTTTCAATATAGTCAAAAAATTATGTATATTTCATTCAAGGCGAAAGGCGAATTTTTTCTACGAAAACACTTTTATTCGGGGATGATTCGGAAATCTCTTTGTTCGGAATTCTTACGTACATCAATACATATTGCACATATATTTGAAAAATCAAAATAATACAGCCAATGCCATTAAATTTTAAAAAAGTTTAAAAGCAGTAAATAATATATAATACTTTATGTTATAAAAAAACACGTGATTTTTGAGACTTAATAAAATACCAATAAAAAGGTGTTTTTTTTAACTTTAAAATGGAATCCAGTATAGAAAAAATTCGTCTTACGACAGAAACGAGACATTGAATATTTTCAAAAATCTTCTCCGTTTTACATTTTAAATATTTGTAATTAGTTGACGTGTGCGGATAACAACAACATGTATTATTTATTTATTTGATATACATCGTATACATGGTTTAGTTTCGTATTGTTCAAGTTAAAAATTTCGTACAGATTTAAATTTAGTAAACACTATTTTGCTGTCGTATACGTACTGTAGCCAAAAAGAACCGTCATAGTATGATTTACACATGCAATATTTGTATATACCCGCAAATGTAGGTAAATGTATTAAAATATATTTATACACAGCTGCGGTCAAAATAATAGCCCTGAAAATAGTGTGTGCCTTCATTCTTGGTAAAAATATTCGTATACTACCAGTTTAATTGAGTTTCTTTGAATATGTTCTTCAATGGTTAATGCATATAAGCTAATGGTTGTCGTCCTACAGAAAAAGTCTCTGCGTTGATTATTTTTCTTTTCCTTTCAATAATTTGTGTTACGAATAAACCCTGACATCAGTGGGTCATAAAACAAAATCGCTTAAACAAAATATTACGTATTTATTTTACACTTTACATGTTAAAAACATGCTTGCATTTGAACCAATAAGGAAGGAAGCATATATTTTTGCGCAAATTAGCCTAATCGATTTCTTGATCTCATTTTAGGTGTAAACCCACCAAAATTGTTAAATAGCAGGGTTTAAGTCGGGAAGACTGTGCTATTTAGAAAACAATATTATTATCATACTCATTTTTGTTTTTTTTAGGAGGGCAAGGTTTTCCACGAACCGAAATCTAGCAAGCACAAACTAGCTATTACGTATTTGTATTCTACTCACTCGTATATCTATCTGAACTATATCTAAATTTATGGGGAATTTTAAACTTATCTGACTCGGAAAAAGAAAAGCACAGCAGAATTAAAAACCATTAAGGTCAAGGTCCTAGAGCAAAAAAAGAAAGCAAAAGAGAACTTACATAATTAAGAAGAAACTGCCATGATAGATTTTCAATGCAGCATTATTTTGACCGCAACTGTATGAGGGTTTCTCCGGCTGGGGAGTGGCTCACAGCCCTGATCCTCAGGGGCTTAGATCCTGATGTAGATTTGGGTCGTAACCGCCCATGCTGTTGTCGTACGGTTGCTGCTGGTCATAGCCGCCGGATCCCATTGGATAGCCCATGGAATCCTGTGGCGGAGCGGGTGACATCATGGGTGTGGTTGTCCCACTTGGAGGACCAGCCATGGAATACGGTGAAGCACCAGCAGCCTTCTTGGCCGCATACAAATTGGCCTCCTCCTGTGCCTTACCAATGTTCTTCTTATAGCGAATACGCTTGTTGCCAAACCAATTGGACACTTGGGAGACCTGGTGCACAATAAGTGTATTAATATGCTTAAATCATTAAGCATTGAATGAAATTAAACCTACCGTGATGCCGCACTTGCGTGCCAACTCCTCTTTGGCCTCTTCGGATGGATATGGGTTGCTCAAGTGACTGTAGAAGTACTCATTGAGGATCTCGGATGCCTGCTTGCTGAAGTTACGGCGCTTGCGGCGTGCGTCTAGGAATCGCGAACGGAGAATCATTACAGCCTCACAGGTCGACTGCTTCAGCTGCATTTGTATGGAACTAAACTTTTTGTGGATAATCTGCACCATTCGTTCGATTTCTTTTGGTGTAATGGGTCTGTAAGCATATGATTGGTTGTTATTTATACTTCAATTATTACCAACTTTAATACTAACCTCGTGCGACTCTGTTCACGCAGAAGATTCATGACATGGGTGGTGAACTCATTGCATGCCTGCTCGTATTTCTCCAGCTCCTGGTGATATATTTGACGAATCTGTGCCAGCTTGGCACGGTAGTCGGAATGCTCGATGGCATTGTCGGCCCCATCTATGGACAGGGACCCACCCTGGCTGGCCGCAGCCGCAGAGGCAGCCGCCGCTCCGCCACCTCCTTTCTCAGGTCCTGCCACGCCCTCGGCAATCAACATGTTGTCCAGTCTCATCAGTTGCGGATCTGGGGGCTCCTCCTCCTGGGTGTTGCGAATCGACAGGACTATAATAGTAAAATGAAAAGAAAAACGGGTTTAACAAAGTGTTATTGGATAAAATATGGGCAGAGATATCTGATACACCTATATTTAAGTGTCTATTTAAAAGACTAGTTGCAAAAAGAGTAAATAACATCTTTTTGTAACTAGTTCTTTTGCGACTAACGCCTTTAATACATACTAAAGGGTTTTAAAAAAATAATAATAATTATAACTATACAAGTCTCCACTTGGTAAATATGTATTATATATAGATTTATGTTAAACACAGTATAATTTTAGAGTGATTATAATGATGAGAATACTTTCAACATACCAGTCTTCTCCTTGATTTCACAAAGCACGGAGAAGAGTGCCGGCTTCATACGGTGACAGTTGAGGGTATGTTTTCTGGCCTGCGCCTCGTCCAGTGATTGTTCCGAAATGCTCATGATCTGTTGCAATATCTCGCCGATGTCCTTCTGCTTGCGCACCTCGTTCTCGCTGCCAGTGTTTTGGCCATCATCCTGGCCAGACAAACCATATCCCTGGGGAGCCATCATGCCACCTGTGTGGGCCAACATGCGATTCGGATCCTCCATGACTCGCCGAACAATTTCAACCCAAGCAACAGAAACTTATTTCTGTAAAAACAAGGAAAACATTTATAAGTTAAAAAATCTATATAGTTACTAAAATGTTGAAAGTTAGTTTAAAATTTAATTTCAAAACTAAACGATTATAATTTTATAGTGATGCGAGATTTCTTAAACATTATTGTGCTTTTATCTTATGTTTTGTTATATTTTTAAGACTTTAGGTGTGTTATTCTTTTAGATAGACATTAATTTTTATTTAATCATTTCGAAATTTCAAAAATACCTTCAGTCAGATAATCCGAATTTTGAAAACTGGGAGTTTTTTAACATAGTTTTTAAAAAATATAACAAGTACCTATTTTTTAGCATAATGTTTTCTTAATTATAAGCTCATATTGGCAGCAAATCTTTATTTTTTTAACCTGGGTTTTATTAATATCCTCACATATGCAAATGTCAAAATGCGGAAATTCCGATTGGAAAAAAGGAACCTTCGTCTGGAGTTGAGAAAAACTTCTTGGTTTAAATGGCCAATAAAAGCAATAAACTCCACCTGTCGCAATCTTATGAAGCAGGATTTCTTTTGGGGATGAAAATGTGTCTCAAAGGTATGAAGAAAATGTACTTCATTCTTAAGACTACATATTTATACAAAATTTACATTAATTTATGTTCAAGAAATGCAACTTTTAAGAAAATATATCCTGAATGCATATTTAAATGACGCTGTAAGTACATACCATACATACATATGTACATACACTTGTTAGTATGTTTTTCGGTAGCGGACCAGGAAAAAAAAATAAACGAGCTGCAATAAAACCTGCCCAGTTTTGTATATACCTACAAACATACAAGTTTTTGGTTTCACATTCATCTAAACAATGTTCAAAGCAGCTCAGATGGTTTTAGGTTGTATTTTAAACATTTTATTACGTCAGAAAGTATTCTAAACTGTTTATAACAAGAGGTATGTACATATCGATATACATATATGCATGTAAGTATTCAGAAGCGTCCACTTGAGATCCCATACTCACGGTTTTCGTTTATCGTTACTGCCTTTTCTGTATACTTCCCGAGCCAGTCATATATTATATTACATTCACTTGAATTTAGCGACACATTGTTGCAGTTGTAAACTTCCGCAAGTATAAATATATTATTTTTTGGAATACAATGAAAGGAAAGTATGTTCTGTATACGCAGAAAAATAAATCGATATGAATAAAGTTTTCCAGAAACATAAGAATATCGATAAAAATGATCCATTATAATAAATATTTTATACATAGAAAATCGATACTTTTATTTAATTTCTGTTATGTTGGTTGCCCACTGCTCATCGATAACCATATATTAGTAAACGCAACGCATGGGATTTTGAAAGGATGTGAACATGTGTTTCTGAAGATCGAAAAATAACCTTGCCAATAATTGTATACAAAGTTTTAGAAAACTGTGCAAATAATAAGGAAATTTATACATAAGTATGTGTCCAAAAGTTTATATTTTAAAGCGGTTGCTTATACAATTTTTAATTTTTTCTGTGGGCAATGGCATTATTTTAAACTAAACTTTTTTAATGGCTATGTATAAAATTATTAGTGGATTACATCAAATGCCCTTTATTTACATTTTATCATACATAACTATTTTTATGAAGAATATTAGCGGTAGAGTAAAAGCGATGATCAAAGTTGATTGAAATTTATGTCATTTGGTAGCAACCTGAATAAGATTTTCAATGAAAAAAATATATATATACCTTAACAAAATCTTCAAAAACTGCACACCTTAACATCGTGTATTGGTTATCAGCATTCTCCAGACTTGTGCAAATAGATAATGCTGTGCTGCTGTGGTATCTGTAAGAAAACGTACGACCCAATTTGCGCAATCGGATTGCATAAAAGCGGAAGTGTGAAAGAGCTATGATCGTCTTCAGCAAATTTGGCGAATCGATAACCATTGTTTTGCAGCTCTGCTGGAATCATTATGGTCATATTGTGCAGTGACGTAGAGTCGTATGTTCGTACTTTGGAGAAAATATATTCCTGAACGGTTTATTTGGCAAAATTATTCATTTACTTTTGTTGGAATCAGCAACGAATTGATGTAAACCCGAGCGAAAGGTATAGAAAAGGGATTCTGGTTGAAACGAACCCAACCTCAAAAGTTCAAATGGCGTGGCTTCCATCCATATGTAAATGCATACGTGCATGAAAATGTAGATATGTATATATATAGACATATCTATATATCGAGCAAATGAGCTTCCATAACTTTTAAAAAACTTTGATTCAAGTGTAATTCAGCAAAAAAGAGAACAAAAACCACTGTCCTTGTATAAAAATCAATCTTTCAAATTAAAATGGTGTGTGCTATATATATATATATATATGGAATATATTTGAATGCATAAGTGGGGATATATATATACATATATTATACGTATCATTGAATTCGAAATTAACCTTCTTTTTTCGAGACTAAAACTAAAATGAAGCAAGAAAATACATAGTTTACGGAGTGGTATACATATGTTCGTTCATGCGCATTCCTAATTTCATTCTCTTTTCCTTTTTGCAGAAAAGTTGAGAGACGAGAAAAAAACACAATTTTTTTGCGATATAAAAGCGCCCCATAAGCGTAACTAATATTTACATATTAGGACTGGATCGCTCCTGAAAAAAAACCTATCAATCTCCCAGTGGCAGTGCGATTTGTTTGTTTTTGATTTATCCATAATATATATTTTCCGAGTCAATTTGCGATTGACTTAACAAAGAGATACGATATCTTTGTCTAATTTGCGAACTGGCATTGCGCACCCCAAAGGAGGGGAAACAAAATCTTATATGACTTTTGAAAGATTCGGTGGTAAGTAATGGATAAATAAATAATAGTTCTAGAACACACTAGTTAAATACCTAGGAAATGCAGCTATCTCAACAATTTGTTTTACAATACCTGTAAAACCCGACTGAGCACCCACATATGTTCTTATGGAACTTTCTAGTGTCTGCACTTAAAATAAGTGTAATCAGATGAAGGATTGATTTCTTTTTAATTTTATTTGTGTAGCTCAGTCAAATGTAATTACGAAATTAAAAAAGGGTTATAAAGTTATAGAAAAGTCTGTACTTATGTTATTTGAACCAGTTATAAATAAGTACAAACGAAAACACAGTTCCAATCTGTAATATTACTATAGAGCGCAGGTAAAAAATAAGGGCCATATATCTTATTTCATGTTTTAGGCCCATTTAAGGAGAAACCCCCTTTCTGAAGTCGAGTTTCCTATAACATAAACACTTTTAAAGCTTATGTGTCGACAAGAAATACAAAGCGCAGTAAAAAATAGTTAGTAGAATCAAATCCAAAGAGCTGTAAGGGCATCTAATAATCTATCTTATCTTTTAATAAGTAAATACAAATTATTTACAAGCCACAACGATAAATATTTTTTTTGTTATGTGACTGGGAGAAATTAAAAGTAAAATGTTGGTTTTATCTCTGCAAATTAAATTGTATGTTATCATAAGCATTACTAAAATGTTTTATACAAACCGAATACCCCGCCCAATATATTTATGATATATTTTTGGTGATGCTGACTCAATTCCAACTGCAAATGCAAACGATTCCCTGTTGGGGGTACAAATTTGGAATTCAAATCTAAAACGGTACCGAAATAGTTGTCAGTTTATTCAATTTTGTTGGAACATCAATATAAACTATTTGAGACAAGCCCTACCAAATTCTCTGTTACATTTTGCGCTTACTTTCCCCCGCTTTTTAATGTTAATATCCAAGATAAAACAAGAATCGTTGATCATACAGTTTTCTGATCGCAGAAAAATTGCTGTCAATGGCAACGTTCTTTTCTTGTGAATTAATATTTTGATTATACTTTGTTTCAAAATTACCGTGCATTCCAGTCATCTTTATTAAATAGGAGAAATTCGGCTATCTACATTTCCTAGTGTTATGTCTTCAATTGAGTCCATGCTTAATTGCATCGCAGTTCAGCAAACTTAAGTACACACTTAGGTCCAGAGCGCCTACAAATTCGAATGCAATATCAATGGTTACTCAATTATCCATGGAGTCTAATTAAAAATATTATTTCAGAAACACCAGTAAAAAAAACCGTACGTCTTATTGAGAAAAAACGGAGTAAAGGGTTCGAGCTGTGCATGAATTTAAAAGGGCGAACCATAAGTCACCGGTAAGTTAAATCATTGATCTCATATAGTATTAAGTTTTGATTTTAAGATAACAAAATTTGGAATTTAAATGAAACCCCTACTCTTAAATACTAATATTAATTTTGAAAGTCTAGGGATACTCGGTTTTTCCTCTTAGATTAGTTCAATATGCGTATAATACCCGATGAAAATTGATGCAATTTTCAAGCAAAGAGAAAGTGGTGCAACATTACAATTGCAGTGACCAATAAATTAAGATTATCTTCGCTCTACGCAGGCTTGTTTTGGTGAAAAGGTTATCAGTCATAAAAGTGAGTGTTAGAATGACCCAAGTGATAATCTGTTTGGTACCCATAAAGATTAAAGATTTTGTTGCAGTGTAAATTGAAACTAATTTCATTTGTCAATAGCTATCTACATACCAAAGCTTGGGAGAATCGCTCTATTATTTTAATAGTTATGAGTAAATAAGTTAAAAGACCTTGCAAGTTCAGTGGTGCCACTTTCCATTCTTCTCGAATTTCCCTAGAATTTTACTGATATTGGTCAAAATATCTTGTTTTTCATTTAATTGTTACGCTTATTAATTTACCTTACGACTTTTTTCTAAGATTAATCGATAACTTAAAGCAAAAACCGACGCATAAAATAAATATAGTTTTTATTGGGCAGTTATATGACTACAGTTTTCTATCTATTTCAATTTAATACATTTTTCTGTGATATGTATGAAACGACTAACGAAGTCTTTTAAACATTTTTACCTCCACAGGACTTCGAGTAACAGACATCGGAAGTTACAGCCATTCAGGTACACATGAGCCTGCTGCTTTGCCATTTTTTTAAAGACTTAAACTGGTAAATTTACAATATAAATAAATATATATGTATATATATAAATACGTAATTCTATTTATATATATATATGTATATATTTAATTATACATATAATAACGGAAAGCATAGAATAGCTGAATATTTACCAAGGCAAGGAAAATCAACCAATACTTCAGCAAAATACCCCCTTGCAAGACAACTATAAGAAATACTACCCTCAAGCAATTCTTGCAGAATCTACAACCAAATTGATTACACCGTTGTTTGAATAAAGCACAATTTATTCGCTTTTCCGGAAGGATATACCAATTCATGCTTATTCTCGGTACATTTAATAAGTAAACACAGCAGCGGCAACATATATAAAAAAAAAACAAAATTAATGAACGGGAACGAAAGCCGGACAACAAATCACAAACAAGCAACAGACCCCAAGTCAATAAATTCCCAGCCACACACAGCCAATAGATTCCACTGGCCGCCCCTAATAGAAACATCATTACCCGAAGAACTATAAGCCAAATTAGCATTATCCCTGGAAGAAGTGGAAACGAAAAGCTTGCTGCAAGATGGCCACCGTAAACGTTAACCGCAGTGTGACGGACATCTTCTATCGCTACAAGATGCCACGTCTGCAGGCCAAGGTAGAGGGCAAGGGCAATGGCATAAAGACCGTTCTGGTCAACATGGCCGAAGTGGCCAGGGCCATTGGACGCCCGGCCACCTATCCGACCAAGTACTTTGGCTGCGAGTTGGGCGCCCAAACGCTGTTCGATCATAAGGTTTGTATTCGGTTAATCTTACTCTCTTCTTATTCGCTGGCTTATCAATCATTTTTTATGCCCTCTGTCCGTCCGTCTGTCCGTATGAACGCAGAGAGCTCGGAAACTATAAAAGCTAGAAAGTTGTAAATTTACATGCAGATTCTTGAGATTCTTGCGTAGCGTAAAGTTATATCAATAGGGTGCCACGTCCGCTTCTAACATCCATAACACTAAAACCTGCTTTGCTGCTTACATATGTATTTCCATCTCCCTCACACTCAATTTAGCTGATAGTCGAGGCCATCGACTATAGCGTTCTCTCCTTTTTTGCATTCTTATTTTATTTTTAATTTTAGAATGAGCGCTTTGTTGTCAACGGTTCGCACGATGTGAACAAGCTGCAGGATTTGTTGGACGGTTTCATTCGCAAGTTTGTGCTTTGCCCCGAGTGCGACAATCCGGAGACCAACTTGACTGTGTCTGCCAAGAACCAGACCATTTCGCAGTCGTGCAAGGCATGCGGCTTCCACGGTCTGCTGAAGGTTAACCACAAAGTGAACACGTTCATTGTGAAGAACCCTCCATCGCTGAATCCGGCCGCCCAGGGATCGTCGCTGACCGAGGGAAAACGTTCGAAGAAGCATAAGCAAAAGAACGATAACGCCGATGGCTCCATGACCAATAACTCTATGGCCAACAACTCTGGTGGCGAATCAGATGGCGGCAATGGCACAAACCAGGCTAGCCAAACTGAGGCCGAAATTAGCGCTGCCATTCCGGAGAAAACTTCTCAGGATGATGACGATGAGGGATGGAGCGTCGATGTTTCGAAGGTACGATTGCTTTTCACACTCCTATTAGGTTTAACGAATATACTATAAATACTTTCCACCCCTTAGGAGGCTATACGTGCCCGTTTGCAAGATCTGACGGATGGTGCTAAGGGCATGACTATTTCGGATGACTATGATAAAACTGAAAAGGAGCGCATCGATCTTTTCTACGAGTTGGTAAAGGACAAGCGGGACAAGAACCTATTGCAGAATATTCAAGATCATAAGGAACTGGTGATCGAAGCGGAACGTTTGGATATTATTAACAAATCTCCACTGGTGCTGGCTGAGCTTCTTTTCACTGAAAATATTATCAAGGACGTGCAGAAGAACCGTCATTTGCTCCTTCGCTTCACACATAATAATCCGAAAGCACAGCGTTATCTAATTGGCGGAATTGAACAAACTGTCGAGCTACATAAAGCTACTCTTATGAGCAAGGTGGCTGGAATCTTTAAAATCTTCTATGATTTAGACATACTCGATGAAGCCGTCATTCTGGAGTGGGCGCAGAAGGTTAGCAAAAGACATGTCCCCAAGCACATTGCTACTGAGATTCACGAGAAAGTAAGGCCGTTCGTTCAATGGCTTGAAAATGCTCAAGAAGAATCTGATGACTCTGAAGACTCTGATGAAGGCAAAAGCGATGAGGACTTTGAAGACTCACAGGTGTACAACGTGAACCTTAAACGCGAAAGAGTCAAAGAAGCGGTAGCAGACGATCTTGATGACGAAGTGAACATCGATGAGATCTAAGCAAAAGCAACTTCCGATCAGTAGTATTTGAAAACGGAAAGCCAAGCAAGCGCAATCTACAAATTCAAAATGAAATATAAATTAGCGAGTTAAATCAACAAGTGGTTCTTTGATCTTTAGTTTTTAAGAGTGCTTATCGTAAAAGCCTTTAAGCACTACCGTATTGCTTTATTTTGATTTATCGCTTTACTACCATTCAATTGTTAGCATTACATTACCCAAGCCGCTGTAACAATAGACGATATCTGAATTACACCAACACATATATTACAAAATAAAGCAAACAAAAAAATGCAAAAGCAAAACATATTTATTGTATATTTTAAGTATACTTTGGCAAAACGGATGAAAGTTTGGGTTGCAGTTTAACAGCTAAGAGTGTTGAAATCGGTAAAACCAGTGACTAAGAATTTAAGTTGCTTGCTCTCTTTGTACTCATGTCCATAGGTTATATAAAAGAGAACAATTTACTTTTATCTATAAAGTTTATAAATCAAAAAATCCGTGGTAAAAACTACAGGTAAGACGAAAGACTGAAAAAAATGGCATGCTAGTAGTGGAATATTTTGGGAAAATATGAAACGAGATTATGGACGCGTCTATGTGGGAACGGGACATTACATTTTTGTTAACGCGGATGATGTGGCAATGTGTGAACAGGGCATTTCAAATGAATGGGTATATTTTGGTACATTTCTTATGGTGCAGTTGGTATTTTGTTAGCAGTCCAGCGTCGGTCATATCCTCATAATACGAACCGAAATAAGTTGAAGTTACATAAATAGGTATTAAATGTTTAAATGCACTGTCCGCACATAACTTTAGCATCAATTTAGCAGGACCAAGATGCTGCGTTCGGCGATGATGTCATCGACCCTGGCCCGGGCTCTCCAAAAGGCCACCCAGACGACACCAAATGCCGTGTTGCCCGCTCTGAATTTGGCTCTGGTGCGCCAACAACAAACCCTTCCGGTCGCCGAAGTGGCCCAGACGTTGCCAAAGAAGGGATACTCGCCGTTCGGCACGAAACAGTCCTCGGTGGCGGAATGGTCACTGGCCCGGCTCGACGATCTGCTCAACTGGGGCCGCAAGGGCTCCATCTGGCCCCTGACATTCGGTCTGGCCTGCTGTGCCGTCGAAATGATGCACATCGCCGCTCCGCGATACGACATGGATCGCTATGGTGTCGTCTTCCGTGCATCTCCCCGCCAGGCCGATGTCATCATCGTTGCGGGCACGCTGACCAACAAAATGGCACCTGCCCTGCGAAAGGTCTACGACCAAATGCCCGAGCCACGTTGGGTCATCTCGATGGGCAGCTGTGCCAATGGCGGTGGCTACTACCACTACTCGTACTCCGTGGTCCGCGGCTGCGATCGGATAATCCCCGTCGACATCTACGTACCCGGCTGCCCGCCCACGGCCGAGGCCCTTATGTACGGCGTTCTGCAGCTGCAGAAGAAAGTCAAGCGGATGAAGACGCTGCAGATGTGGTATAGAAAGTAAGGCAACAGCGATCAGAACCTATATATATATTTAAAATGTGAAACATCAAACGACACACGGTTTGGCGAACAGAAATTATATTAAATATTGTTCTGTTAACGTTCTGTTGTTGTATATATTGTTTTTTGGCTCACAAGGATGTTGCAAATAAATGTCTTTCGATATAAATACTAAGCTTCAAGATGTGTGGCTGTTTCTAAGCGGCAGGCTTGAAGATTGGATAACGAAAATATTATAATTTACATAAAGTTGATGGTTCTCTTGTAGACGGTTTCTTTCCCTTATAAATTGTATGTATATATCATATAAGTAGTTGCCATAGGAACGATCGCACCAACCACAGGACAATCTCCAGTTTTCACTTAGTTTTTCGTTTAGTTCCTCGCTGTTTTCATTCAAGGTTCCATGGTTTTCAAAAGCTATTCAAAGTACTTTTTTTTTAAACCGTATGAAATGTAAGCACGTACTAGTGTCGCAATAAACCCAAAAACAAGTGCAATTTTGAACATTAAATTATTTTTGTATAATTTACATATGCATAATAATTGGACTAGCAAATAACTAATCTAGTGAATTCTGACCAACACTATTCTCCTCCATTTCGGTACTGGAGAGGCTTGGCGACAAGGTCGTGGACCTCGAGTTGCAGGCAATGCCATCCAGATTATAGTACTGCACTATTCGCTGTGGTGGCCGATTCGATATGACCTCGGCGATTTGATTCACAACCCATTTGGCCAGCTTGATGACAGCAACGTGTGCTGCAAACTGCAGGATCATGGCTCCGAAGCCCTTGTACAGCCCCGAAACGCCCTCGGAGACAATGGTGGTCTGATAGCAGTCGACGACACCCTGATAGTTCGTCAGAATTGGGACCACATCGTAGCCATTGTCCAGGTTGTCGATTATGGTTCGTGTTCCCTGGAGCTGCAGACGGTGCATGATCGTCTCGAGCGGGAAGAATATGACCTCAGTGGTTAGGATGGCGATGAGGCTGGCGTATATTTCCGCATTCTGATGCTCCAGCGTATTGTCTTGAAACTTTCCTCCCTGGCTGTCCTGAGAATTCGTCGTTATTCGTCGTCGCATAATGCGCGAGGACACGCCCCGTATGACCAGATTGAAGAGGTACTTGGTGATGCCAAACGAAACGCTGGGCCCGATTAGAGCCCAGGCCGGTAGCATTCGTCCCTTCTGCGGGGAGCTCCAGTAGAAGAGACGCAGGCTGCCCTCCCGAAAGACATCGAAGAGACCCGGCTTCTCGCTGGCTATATCGCTTTGCACCGTCTCGACGAGAGAGGCAGCATGGAAGGGCACCACCAGCCCAATGCTTATACTATATGAGGTACATTAAATGGAAATCAGAAAAGTGATGGAATAATTGGCAGGACAATGCCTTACCATTTGAGCAGAACATGCTGGCCGAATCGCTTCAGGGTGGTGCGACTGTCCACATCCTTGGGCCAGCTGGTCACTTTCGAGATGAAGTCGTCTATGGCCAGGGTCATGCCGCGA